ATTATTTCACTTCAAACGACAATAATTATCTGAGGAAATAAAACACCAAAATGTTTGCGCAAAATTAAAAATTTTAACCGAAATTTAAACCACTCTTTAAACCTGCTTTACCTAAGTAAAGCCTCTGTTGGCTATATTTCACTCCTTGAGTCCTACTTTCAACTTTGCACATCCAACTTAATACGAGTTAATTCCTACTTTAGGCCCACGGGTGGAATAAATGCACATATCTGCTACTTGTAGGGTCCAAAGTAGGGCCTCAATTGTACAGAAGTTATGACCCTCCTTTGTCTCAAATCCCATTAAAAGCCAATAATCAGAGGTTCTAAATAGAACAAAAATTTCGCCTCGGAATACTCCACATATACCACGCGAAGAAACCCGTAATTCTCCATAAAAATGGGCAAATAAACGCAACATCCAGCCTTTTGGGCGCCTCCAATCTCCATCAACAGCAGAGGTTCCTCAACTCGTAACCACCGCACGTCGCGCGGGTACTCAGCAGGGGAACATTTCCTGGTTTCCTGAAAATGCACCAAGTGCACAATCCCCTATAAATTCATATGCACCTGCACATGCCGCAAGTCCGTTAAGACTCGAGCACCATCGACGCGGGTTCTCTCGGGGTGGCGGAAACGCAAAGCCTTAGTTAGGCGTAACGCGTGCGTCGCGGTGTAATCCACTGGCAGCAATGTCGCGTTTACGCGTACACGCACGGCCCCGTGTTCTCGAATTACGCGTGTGTACACGGGTTCAAGAGTCACCCGGGAGGGCGATAGCGTAATCGGAGGTCCGAAGCTCTGCTTTCAGTAGACCAGTCGGTGGTTCTTCGTCTCGGATTCCGGGATTTTTGCCCCGCAAACCCGCGAGCGGATCCTCCGTTCCGTGGCGTCCGTCACGTACATCGAACTTCGATGAACAGGTTTGTTTGCTTGCGGAAATGATCGGCGACGTTACATTAATATTGGTTGAGCAAACAGTCCCGCAGGAGCTGCGCTTCGCCCGTGACGTTGTACCTTCGATTGACGAGGAACGGGAGGGACAGGTTGTGCGGCATGTTGATACGGTGATATGCTCAATGAGCAGTCGTGATAAGCGGGAAGAGCAGGGATTACGCGCGAGATGTTGCGGGCAAACCGCTGCGGAAAGCGTATCGCGATTCCTAAGTGATCACGCGTGTAGATCTAATGCATCTCTACCTGAAAATTTATTTCTTATTACTATCGTACAATTGTGTAAATTGAAGTATGTTCATCTATGTCAGGTATTGTTTCTCTTAAGGGAGGCTTATAGTGATAAAAACTTTTGGATAACGTTTGGATTTAAGGCAGTATCGATTAAAATTGGCCAATAACGTCACGAGTGTACCGATTAATAAAATCGATTGCTGTTGGGAATTGGAGACTCATGAGCGTAATTATTAATGACCAGTGGCATAATTATCTTAAGAAGTGATACGGTGAATCTAATACTACTCGACCGTGGGGTTAGAAACTAAGAATCGATGGAAAATGGGAATGACTATCGTATAGGTTTGAACAACATTTTAAACCGGTGTACCTAAATATTCTGTTACTTTGTTAGTCTCGTTAGATGAATTACCAAGTGAGGGTCTAAATAGAATTGACCTGACAGTTCTTTTGCAATTAAATTTTTGCGGTTCCGATTTAACGTTTCATTTGAACTTTTCTGGAAAAGTTCATTGAAATAATTTCTTTTCTGTATGCAACGCTAATTATTAAGCTCTGCTCATTTACGTTGTAACAACCAGGTTAATAAAATGGAATATCGTGATCTATAAATAACCGTTACTGATATTTTTATCTACGTTGTGAAAAAGCGAACGGGCAGGGATCTATATCTGTATTGGTTATCGCTGCGCAAAATCGAACATTCATCGATGATATCGTTCAAAGACAGTTACGTGGAAATTCCATCTGGGATTTTATAGAATCGGTTAGAAAGCGAGTTGCGATACGAATCAGGTACCATTTTAGATGTGGCAAGGGGAAACGATGACGTGTAAGATAGCAATCGTGAATTGGCAACAAGAAGATATGAAGGCTGGTAGGGAAATAAGTGGAGACAAAGAAGGGAACAACAAAAAGAGGCAGCGATATCGGTTACCCTACCGAGAAGTAAGTGTCGCAATCCTATACACGATGCGAAGGGGGCATATGCCGCTGTCACCAATTGGATCCTGATCAAGAAAGATAAAATAAGGAGAGTCATGACTTTGTTGTCCGCTAACGAACGCAACGGGAGTACCATTATTTGTCAACGAGATCGAATCGCCGCTACCAACGCTAAACCTTGATAATTATTCTGACTTGCTACACTGAAAGCGCACATCGTCCGAAGGTAAATGACAATTTTCAACCAGTATGCGAACTGTTGAATATCGATTTTTTATAATAAACGAAAAAGGACAGGTACGAGTAAGTTTGCTACAAAAATGTTTAATAAGAGTTACATTGATCCGCGAAAATAAGGATTCATGTGATTGTTGTCCGCTAACCAACGAAGGACCTTGATTATTTGTAAACGAGATCGAATCACCGCCACTAACGCAGACCCTGATAAGTACTCCAACTCGAAATGCTACACCGAAAATACACATTGTCTGTAGATCAATGGCAATTTTCAACCAATCGATGAATTACCGCTTTGACAGCTAAAAGTCCAGTCCGATACCAGCACAGGAAGCGTTGAATATGAATGTTTGATAATCGGCGAAACAGGACAGCAACGAGTAAGTTCGCTTTAGAAATTTTAATTAAGGCTTACATTGATCCATGAGAAATTGATCGAGTCCATTACCCACTCCGACTAATTCGCCTTTTATCAGCCCGGATATATCGCATGTGACAAGCGCACCGGATTCGTCGCAATCGCTTGCGATAAATAATTGGCCGACAAGATCGGGACCTTTCGCCATTTTTCTTCGTGCGTAAATCCAGTTATCACTCCAGATATCGAGCGAGACAGGGTGCATTTAACGGCCGTATTGTTTCCTCGTTGCAATCGTGTGCAATAAATAATAGATCGACAAGATTAGGACGCCTTTCGCGCGAGTGCCCTTTAAAGAATCGGCTCGAAAGTGTGGCCGCCACTTGCTCCATTCCAGTTTCGTCGGAAAAAAGAAACGGAAGAAGCACGAAGAGAACCGGGTAGCGAGAAGTAAGATGCAGCAATCGAGGGAGGCGAAGGGGTAATAACTGCACCGGGTGCAGTGCCGAATGCTTCGGAATGCAGAAGTAGCGGTGAAGTCGTTAGGAGGCCCGAGGAAACCCGGCTCTATTATTACTCATATTTCTGTCAGGTCAAAGGTCACCTGGGAGATATTATCGCGGACTTTACTGAGAAATAAATGTCACGGCGGCGACACGAATTTGCAGCTGCAACCCGTCTGAAATCGATGTCGTAATGCTTGGTCATGTTACTGTCACTTAGGCCTCTCCTTGAGGACGCTGAATCGGACGTCGTGACGAGAGACGATGTCGTTCCGTTGCTCTTAACAATTGCACTCGGAAGTTTGCTCAATCGACGCCGAGTTCTGTCGCTCACTTGTATCTAATGCACCAAGGACAATATCACCTGAAAACGGTATAAATCTGCATCGCGAAACTCTGACGTTAACTCCTTACCCTTCGGGCACTAACTTCAATAATTCTTTGGTACTTCTGGAAGATTAACTTTTTTTTTATTTAACCCATTCAGCTAAACGGACGTCGTGACGAGAGATGATGTCGTTCCGTTACTCTTAACAATTGCACTCGGAAGTTTGCTCAATCGACGCCGAGTTCTGTCGCTCACTTATATCTAATGCACCTAGGACAACATCACCTGAAAACGGTATAAATCTGCATCGCGAAACACTGACGTTAAATCCTTACCCTTCCGGCACTAACTTCAACAATTCTTCGGTACTTGTCGAAGGTTAACTTTTTTATTTAACCCATTCAGACGAAACTAGGCGCACGAGTTAGTGGGTCACAATGCGCAGTTATGAGTCGCACTCGAAGTGCTCGTGTAAATTAAATGTCTCATCTCGTCTACATAAGGCATAAACATCGAGCAAACTAGTTGGATAAAATTAAATAGTCTTGTTACAAAATATTAAATGAAGACAGTCTGTAAAACAAAAATAGGCGCGTTGAGAGTGAAACTTCTAAGACAAAGAGAATTATTAGATGTTATTAACACTTTGCCGTCCGCACGATTCGTAAATATTTATTCGCTTGGCGCCGGCAGCGCTAAATTCGGATCACTTGACTTGTCGCCGGCCGTTTTTGATGTTATCGACACCACTGTGGTGTCGCCGGCTGTTGGCCAAAAGTTTGCGCACATCACCACTGTGGTGTCACCGGCCGTTGACCGATAGTTTGCGCACGTCACCACTGTGGTGTCGCCGGACGGCATAGTGTTAAGTGTTCTTAATCATCCTCTCACGAAATGCCCTTACGCCTTCGATACTGCCTGCTTTAGGTATAATTATTACTCTTCTTTATTGGTATAACTTTTACGTCATCTTAAATGTCAACAATTAACCGAGAGAATAACGCACTAACGCTGAAGAAGCCGGTGACGCAAATTGTGTTTAACACTCAAACACACATATGAATATAAATAGCAATTACCTCTAAAAGAAAGCGTTTCATATTCCGAATCCGATCTATTTATAAAATGCGAACTTACGCGTACTACCATGCCCTAAGAAATCTAATTTAAAATATAAATGAAGGTAAAGAAAACTAATCATCAATGGACATTTTGCCCAGATAATTGGTTCTACACTGCATAAACTTCTAATCGCGCAACTTCGGTTCTTTTCAGACGACGTAGCGTGAAAGCTTCTTAACGGTAGAGGAAGGTCCTCGTGTCAAAGCATCTGTCATTGAACCCGATATAGCATTCAAGGTCTCTTGACCGAAGACACGATGTAGTTAAACCGAGACTCGTGTCGTCCATGAATCGTGACGTCACTGGAGCTGCTTCAATGACACACTGCGTAAACGCGCTGCTTAACTGGTCTCGTGAGTTTAGTAATTCCGTGGCCATTGTCTCGCCAAGTGTGCAGTGTCCCGTGATTACCTCTTAACGAACGAAGCTAGAGATTATTTTGCGGCAACATGGAAATATTATAGCGTTAGTGGCCAATTTTCACCTCGAAATTGGGAGTAACAGTGTTCCTGCATCGTGCGAGGTATTCCCGTGTATTGCCATTAGATCGATTAGTTAAGGTGAAGTGAAACACGTCGAGGAATTTGGTCGACGTCGATAAAGAAGATTTTTCTAAATACCTTTGTTGCCGACGTTCGTTTTTATATTGACAACTGTGTCAAATTATATTGGGTATTGTACCAAATGGCATACTCCACCTGTCGTTTTCCTACAATAATTATAAAGAAATCGAAGTAAAGCTCCAGAAATCCTCTGCATTCATGCTTTCTGGGGCCTTAATTGACTGCAGAGGGACCCCCTGCGCCATCTGTGATTTCTAGGTCAATTAAATTTTCACTCCGAGACCTCGTATTCCCATCGTTTTGGCATAGAAGCGCATTCAACACTTTTTCTGCCTTTATCCCGTTCAAATGCGAGTTTATCGATTACCAGAGTGTTCTAAATTGTCGTAAAATTGTCCCGACCCTGTTGATTCTCATATCAGAGCCTTCGATAATTGTATATCGTCGAAATATGAGAACTCGACGCCATTTTGGTTCTAGTTTGGGCTTAGTTAAAATATTTTTCGAAAAAATCCAAATTTGAATGTGTCAGGACAATTCTTAGATGATCAGGAGTGATGCCTCAAAGTTTCGGACAGTTTGGTCTAATACCCTTAAAAAAAAGTGTTGTATTCGAATCTTCTGATTTGAAGGGGGTTTCACTTCACCTTAAGGCGAGCCCAGATGATATTCCACGTTATGTAAAGTGAGCGATTTTTAATCGATTCGCGGAATCTCATCATACCTGCATTCCGGTTACCAGTTAATACCCGTACTTGATCAGATCCGTAAGAAGCGTACCCAGTTATTTTGGTGCACCACTTCTGTCCATAGAGCAGCAAAAGAAAGGGGCATAAGGTCTCGTAACTCGTGAATGATCTAATTGCCATCGCATTAGCCCTTGTCCGAGCCGCTCGATTTGCTCCAAAAAGACCGTGTTTACTTCCTTCATGCATCACTTGGCGATGCACAAAGAAGTGAATGAATGGCGGAGGAAATCTGCCGATTCATGGATGAGAAAACCGTTCGACCATGATACGGTTTAGTTCGATAGCTTCATTAATGGGTTAAGCTTCGTTCGATGATTCAGGCGTGAGATACGGTTATCCTGTTTTCTCCTGACAATCCGTTTCTTGCGGAAGTATTTAATCCTCCACCTCCCTCCACATCCTGGTTCTTGCGGCGAGAGGTTAACGCGAAAAGAGAGTAAAACTGCGTTATCCATTTTTAAATTAAAATAGTACATTCGACCAAGTGAGTCGTGATCTGAATATAAATACAAACTTACCCTAGTAGCACAAAATATTTGTCCTATATTTTCTATATATTTAACGAATATCGTACATTTTGTAAATATTTACTAGACATTTGAAATATTTGCAAAAGGTTTACTTTAGAATATTANTTTATAAATTATTGAAACGGACAATGTCATTGAGATTTTCAGAAAAATTTCAAATATCTTCGATTGAAATCTACAAGAAATCTTAAAAAGTCTGTCGTCTGAGATATTAAGCAAAGATTACAAAGAAATATTGAGAAATTATTCCATGCTACTAGAGTATGGGTACAAATAATAGAACGACATTTTCAAGGATTCCTCCCCTTGACATCGAGTCTCCGTGTTTTTCTTTTAAATTTGGTGGAATTTGGAGCGCGGGCAAAAAGACTTTCTCGTCGCGAATCCCAAATCCAATTTATCTCCTGACAGTAAAAAAGAAATAACCTTCGTTTCGAGGACTGCCGAATCACTCTTTCCCAGGGCAACAATCTTCTTTCACAGCCAAGTTTTTATCGACACCTAAACCGCGGGCATCGCAAAAAGGCAATATTATTCAATGAACCCCAAACCGCAGGTATTAATACAATCCGAAACGAATCAGTGGGCAATATCTGAAAATAAAAGCCGGCCTATGTGCGTCTGCAAATAAAGTGGCCCACCATTCAAGTGTCAAGATAGGATTTCAAGAACCGCTACCCGATTTGCCACAATCCCGCGACTGGGATAGTTTTTTCAGGCAACGTCCTCGTCTTTTTCTTGCTCAGAAAACGGTCGATGTGGTAAGAGGGGCGTTCCTTTCCTTCTTATTAGAAGAAAGGCCTCCTCTTACCTCGAAGGTATACACGTATATTTCTACACTTTTTACCAGGGGTGTCCTCTTACATAAATGCCGTTCCGAATCGCGCGTAACTCGACGACGCATTGGTGAAACTCGGTCGCTCGGGCGATTCCTCTTTTTTGGAGAAAAAAATTGCCCGGCATTAAGGCGAATGAAATGGGCTCGTGGACTCGTAACTAGGATGCCTCTGGTGTTTTCTAGCCGTTACGCTGGAGGTAACTAGTTCTCGTTTAACCCAGGGAGCCGACAACAGGTGCAGAAAGTATCCGGAAGAATCGACGATGGGCCCTATGGGAGTGCAGCGATGATGAGGGGACCAGAATCGAAAGGCGGAAACGAGCATTCGCGGCTCGAAGGAAAGAGTGTTTTTCGCACGTGGCCGCTCGCTCGCGATGATTCATCGCCAAGTCTTAACCGAGCATGTAACGCGCAGCGAAACGTTCAACAACGCGTTTAAACGCTATCATTAAAAACAGGAAAAAGGATGCTGTACGCGTATCACAGAGTTTCCGGCCGGACAGCGTAAGAGACTTCGCGAGGGATCGTTTTTCCTGGACTAATCCCAAGCAACCAATGTTTAACCTCCATACCTTCTTCGGGTCCATTTAGACTTTTTCTTCTTGCTTCTTTCTACCTTAACCCTAGTAGCACAAAATATTTGTCCTATATTTTCTATATATTTAAAAAATATCGTATATTTTGTAAATATTTAGCAGACATTTGAAATATTTGCCAAACGTTTTCTTTAGAATATTATCTGTATAATATTTATATAATATTAGCTCCATGTGTTTTCATAATATTTTTCTACCAGATATAGAAAACATTTCGGTTCATTTTAATACAAGTATTTTTGATGCCGAATGCATTATAAGTGTTTTAAAAATATTTAAAATCAAATTCACACGTTTCGCTCCAATAATGAAATAGCGGAATGAAAATCTTAGAAAAATTTCTCGTGTTTTTTAATATCAAATGAAGTGTCCGATAATAGTCGTGAAGTAAAAAATGTATTTTTGTTATGCTAGTAAGTTAAAAATATTTCTCTATATGTTTATAAATTATTGAAACTAAATATGTCATTGAGATTTTCAACAAATATTACAAATATCTTCGAATGAAATCTACAAGAAATCTTGGAAACTCTGTCGCTTGAGATATGTAGCAAAGATTACAAAGAAATATTGAGAAATTATTCTATGCTACTAGGGAAGTCTTTGTCGTTTTTATTACCTAATAATTATATGCACTATTGTATATATGAACAAATTTGTGGTGGTACTAATATCTTCACATTTTGTTACCATGAGGACATTTGAACCCAATCACAGTAAATTATGTGAAAATTGAGAAAAGCTTGAAAGTTAAAAAAGATGTGAGGACGATTCGACAATTTCAAGGGCTTGTATTCTTTGACATTGTCGAAAATTTCCGAATGTGGTGCACTTATAACAGTTTCTTCTCACCTTTGGATGATAATCTCGTATTTGGATGAAGTATTGTTGCAAGGACCTAAACAATGTCAAACATCGAATTCACTTCAGAGTGGAATTTAATATCGACCGGAGTGTTTTCTGATTTGTCCTTGCAACAATTTTACTTTCATCGGAATCGCATAACTTTTAGGTATTTTCTGAAGAAAAAAGAAAGAATCGAATTAAAAGTTTTTTTTTTATATACATTTTTGTGTTGTCAAGAATTTCAATTGCTTAATCAAATTTCGTTTTATTTCATTATCATATATATATTCCCTCGAAACTCCAAGTCGATAACTCCATGTCGATCGATTAATTTTTCTTGATCGCTTTCGGAAAAATTTCCGTATAAAAATTGAAAGTACAATTGTTCATTAATAAATACACATGAATGTCTACATAACTAATTTTGTTGAAGTTGAATTCCAAGAAACATGGAATCCTTGGCGTAATCAAAAGCGGCGCGCGGAAAGAAAGTCCGGGAATGCCGGGCGGAGGCTAATAACCGTGATGGATAAAAAAGAAAAATGTTGTCCGGAGCATAATAAATTAGTGTAATTGGACGGTTCTAATTGGCTCGCTTTTCAGAGCGATCTACCACTTTGTCCAACGCCATCCAGGGGTTTCCGCAATTGGATACGTCGGTGATAACACGAAATCGATTTCAAGGAATTTAATGTACGCGACTGCACCAACACTTTTTCAGGTAGACAAGTTGTCCGAAACATTGTCCGGTAATTAGTTTCTACATGTACAGAGACAATTGAAAATAATGGCCATCCTGATTTACACGGACGACATATGCTGAAATTCGTAATCAATGAGGTTGTGTTTCGCCTATTTTCTTTCTTTATTTCGTTATCTCCCTCTATACATTATTCTGTTTACTCCATTTTCCATTATTATGTCGTCAAATACTACTTTTTTCCAATCGTAATCGAAACGCTGCATCCCTCCCTGATTAAAATTTCTACATACATCGGTTTTTTTTTCTACCATCTATTCACACGAGCAAATTATAGTATTACTTCATTAAATCGTAATTTCGGGGTGGCAAATTTATCGGATGTAATAATCGGAAATGAGCTCGACTTAATTAGCGACTACTCGTTATTGGAGAACCTTTAATCGCGGTATTATCCGCCCGCGTTTTTCCGATAACAAAAGATGCACGCGGTACCTCATTTGAAGTGAAATTGTAAGGGGGCCATTAGGAATTAATTAACTAACAATATTAACCATTGGGAATTAATTAACTAACAGCATCATAACAAATACCGGACACATAAATCTAAGTGAACTCAACGTAGGAAACTTATCGACTACTTTGTAGACCTACAAGTGTTACATTTTACTTGTACTTAGCTGCTAGTACCAAGTGAGCCTATTATCGAACTGTAATACCATTTAAGTATGAGCTAAGTGACTTATATCCATATTTATAGTCGGCCGTAACAATTCGAGAGACACTTAGGAAAACTTTTGACCAATTCGAGACGCCTAAAGCACCTGTAAGTGTCTCTCGACACTTGAAAGTCGACTGCAAATGCAGACCTCACGGTGCACCTGCTGCATTTATGCATGTCCAGCAATTGTGCTCTACTATTTACCTAAAGCGATAATTTAACCAAATCACGATAATCCAAGCTCAAACGTGAGGCGAATTCTATTTTGACGATTGAACGTCATTCGTTTAACTTTGTCTTATCGCTATGGAATTAATAAACTCAGTTTCCAGACATCTCTTGTCTCTCTTTCCGTTGACCATACATACTATCGCTTCGGTTCTTATGTACATCCGTCACGTCTCAGACTCTGTAATCGCCCCTGAGCTCAAGCAGTGTTATCAGAAATCCGCCAATAAGCGGAATCCGTGTAATGCCATCAATATTCCCTATTTACTCAAAACACTGACAGCTGAACATACAGTGGAAACTGGAGTTCCTCTGAGCTCCACGTTTCACGTTATTCAGAATAAAAATTTCTTCGATTAGTCTTTAGTAAAGGCAGTGCTATCAAGTCTACATGTTCACTTCGATCTACTTATTCCAGGATTTAATTAAATTTCTATTTTATTTACAGGTTGTAAAATAAGTGCCATCGTTTTTCTACGTCAACGAGAACAATGAAAAACATGGCTTCCTGGCTATCAATATTGTTAGCTATATCACTATCAAGAGCAGTATCCTCAAATTTTATTGGTAAGATATTTACATATTTTAATGACCCTCTTTATCATTAAAGATTATAGAATTAATTCGGAAGTACAGAATTAGGAGAGCGGTGGATGGAAAGCTTATTCTTTTGGCGCTGAAATATGAATGCTTATCATTTGAAAAGGTTAAGGTGAAGTGAAACCCCCTTCAAATCAGACGATTCGAATACAACACTTCTTTTTAAGGGTATTAGACCAAACTGTCCGAAACTTTGACGCATCACTCCTGATCATCTAAGAATTGTCCTGACACATTCAAAATTTGGATTTTTAAACAAATATTTTAATTCAGCCCAGACCAGAACCAAAATGGAGTCGAGCTCTCATATTTTGATCGATGTACAATTATCGGAGGCTCTGATATGAGAATCAAAAGGGTCGGGACAATTTTACGACAATTTAGAACACTCTGGTAATCGATAAACTCACATTTGAACGGGATAAAGGCAGAAAAAGTGTTGTATGCGCTTCTATGCCAAAACCATGGGAATACGAGGTCTCGGAGTGAAAATTTAATTGACCTGAAAATCACAGATGGCGCAGGGGGTCCCTCTGCAGTCAATTAGGGCCCCAGAAAGCATGAATGCAGAGGATTTCTGGAGCTTTATTTCGATTTCGTTATAATTATTGTACGAAAACGACAGGTGGAGTATACCATTTGGTACAATACCCAATATAATTCAACACAGCTGTCAATATAAAAACGAACGTCGGCAACAAAGGTATTTGGAAAAATCTTCTTTATCGACGTCGATCAAGTTCCTCGACGTGTTTCACTTCACCTTAAACTCTCCTTGAAAGTAATGCCAATAGTGTTATGGTAACAGGCTGAAATCCACTTTGTGTAATTTTTCCTAGGCGTTATGGCTTAGGCGGATGTAATATATGGAGAAAAGGAAGTATATACATATCTTTCTCGATGTTGCAATTAAAACAAAGTGTTCGCAACCGCGTGCATACCTGTTATTACATCTGCATTTACTTCCTCGAGCGCAAGGTATCGGTTTACTTGCAAGTTTAACTCTAGACTTACATCCGGATTCTGACATGTTAAGGAGCAGTCTACTCGATACCTTTCCGCGTTCCCACAATTAGAAGCGTTTCTACTTTCTCGGGTGCATAGCAATATCATTCGATAAGAAATAATACTCCGCGATAAACGTTCCCTTGAGTTCTGAAACTTCCAGCGATCTTATCAGGAATTGTAAATACTAGACTTCACTGATTGCACCATTCATATCACTGTAAGATATAAAGATGTAATTTTTTCTTTCTTAAAGCCAGCAATGGAAACCACTGATTAACAAATTTAGCTTCAGATGGAATATTCAATGTTGGATTTCAGGCTGCGATTTGCCAACAAATTTTGTCATCGACATATCGGAGGACGTAAAAGTCAACATTTATGGAGCTGAACTATGGGTCGGAATTAAACCGGAAGACGTAGGCATTGTCAGATATCCGTATATTAATGCTGTTAATCTTGTGGCAAACAATAGCATCATAGCTTTCAGAGGTGAGTACAATTTTAAATCTCTTTGAGTGAAATGCCGATTATCCGGTCGTTGCATTAAGACTTGTAACTTCTACTTTAGGATATTTGATCAAGAACAATTTAAAGGATCGTTTGATTTCGGGACCAGAAAATATCTCGAGACACCTCAACATTGACCGTACCGTAGGACTCGCACAAGTCATTGTAAGTCACAAATATTACTCAGTAAGCTTGGATATCAGTAAATCAAGTACCCTAGTTTAACAAGTATCCAGAAAAACGTACTCTTAATGAAAGAAAAATGAAACTTCTAAAATAATGATATCGACCAAGAACGAATATTTCTAATGCATTACGACAAAAACCTAATATCAAGTAGAAAATCCTACAGTATTCTGTTTAAATTTTAAATACATCATAAAGTGCAGCAAAAAATTACAGTCGTTTGAAGATTTACAAAAAAAATTACTCATTTTATTATGTTTTGCGGGGATGAAGGAACATTTTAAGTAGCGCAGGAAATTTTCTGAAGCGATGAAAGTGCAATATGTATTTTTTTTTCTAGGTAGGGAGATAAATTAAACGTTTTGTTATAATTTTAGAGAAATGCTTGTGTACCTGATGAAGCTTACCGACTCCGTGACTGTGTTATGTTCCTTTCGCCGGCCAGAGAAACTAAGTAAGTTTTCATATTACTTTTGCTCTCAATCACGAAATGAAAATCAATGCTACTAAAAAATTGTTAATACAGGGACGACGTTCTGAAGAAGGTGGACCGAGAAATTCTTAAATTGGCCGAATCGTGTTTGAGCACTGAAATTTGCGAAAAATTTGATCACCAGAAATTCGTGGAAATTCCCCTGGATGATCCTGATCAATTTGGCCCACTATCACCATATTCTCGGTCACTATATGCTGCATTACCCCCAAATAAACAATTTAGTCCTTCCGCAGTTGGCAGGGAGAATTGTGAATCGGTACAGGTATTTCTTAGGACAGAACACGTTGAGTGTTGAACCAAAAAGAGACAACAGTAGGTGATGGCCACCCTGTAAATTTTGACTTCCTGAAAATGTCAATTTATGATTGCCAGTATCTTTATTGACACAATTGGATGTCTTCCAGCACTCACCGCGTTAAGCTTTTATTATTAGCGAGGCTATCAATTAATTTTATAAATTATGTACATTAAGTATTATCACTGTAAGTATTGTAAAATTAGCAGTGTCAGGATTGAACAAATGTTACTTTAGAGCTAAACAATTCTGCGGACTATGAAAATAATTAAATTAATTAAAATAATATGTTACTTTCAGTCGGCAATCAACATCTTGGTGGACGTAGCTTTGGCCGAATTAATTGAAAGGCTCAGGAAGAAAAACGAGGGAATTATTAAGATTCCGGACATTTACCAGGAGTTTTCAACGGGTTCGGGAATATTCGAGACAACCGGTCGTTTTGAGGCCATAAATGGAACATTTAAGTTAGCATTATTAATGACATTGATCGGTTCGCCCTGCATTTCACTTAAGACGATCTAATCATCGTAAGATCACAACTTTTTAAGAAGTTTGTTCATGATTCGCTCATAAATTAATTTGAATTAAACTAATTAGAAATATTCTTGTTACAGATATTTAACAAGCTGTATCATTTACCTAAGGCTACTCTAACTTTCCGATTCAATTTCAGTTCTCTGTCATACGTATGTACATTCTCGGAAAAAAAATTATAAACAATTTGATTCCATTCTTGCGGACGTCAAGAAAACATATTTGTGAAAGAAAACTCAGCGCGTTCCATCAGAAACAGAAATTCTGATCTCTTTTATTTCTGGCGGTGACTGTGAATAGAATTCTCATTGAAATAATGGAGAGATAACCGAGTATTCTGTTTCTGGTGAGAAAGTTTGTAGATCCCGTTCCTCATGTTTCTCATTAATCCATTTTCGTAAAATTCTCATTTAAAATTTGACAGTGTACTAACTTAAGTCAATGGAATACCGAATTAATTTAATTGGCATTGTATCAAATTTGATTTTCAGAGATCTGACGACACTGAAGAGAACCGAGGATGCTATCCTATCTAATGCAGGACTAAAATTCAAAGCTTCATGCGGTTTTGGACTCTCAACTGCGCAGCTGCAATATCCTTACTATAAGGTAACTCTTGAATCACTTTCTAGCCTCATGTATGTGAACCATATTGCAAAACTTTTGAACCCACATCGTAATTTCGTTATGAAATTCTCGACAGCCTAATGTAGTCGTTTCTTTATACCAAGGAATTTCAGCACCTTTCGCAGTAGTTTCAGGAAAGCCAATCAACCGAAAATTTACAAGTTAAATTTCATTATCAGCAATGATTAGAGATGAATAAATAAACGTATTAATTATTCCCATTAATAATTCACTGATTTTTAAATTTTTAATTTAGAAAGGTCTGCCTTGGTTCTAAACGAAATCCTTTCCCCCCAATCTTTTACCCTTCATTCTGAGATTAAAAAGAAAATGAAAATATTCGTTCGTCTCTCATGTTTATTTTTTTTAGGCGAAATTTGGTATCTTGAAAGTTAATGGCCAAATATCTGGCACTGTGGCAGGGACGGCAATTCATGTTACAGTTATTGTTGACTACAATCAAAATCCTTGTGTAACGACTTTGGATACTCTGAAAGTGACGGAATTTGGCAAAGCCAAAATCAATATTACTGGTCTAGGGCCGTTAAATTGGTTAACGTCCAAATTGTTGAATTATGTTGCCAAAACATGGCGCGAGGACGTCATCAAATCTATCGAATCCAAGCTTAGAAATACAGTTACTAAGCAATTGAATAAATTCAATTGCGAAAAATATAGGCCATAAAGAAATGACGATGGATAACAAAACTGATCGATTTAAAAATGAGAACTATATTATCGTTAAGCATCGATTTCATTTCACACATTCTTTAAAATGCATTTCATTCACTTGTGTTTGATCTACAAAGATTCGATTGAATAATACAAACCGCAACAGAAATAAATAACGCAAATAGTAGAAAAGGTTCCCGCTTGTACAAAACGGCTAGGGTTTTCCTATATAATAAAGTATATAGTACATATTAGCACACACATATTTAACTTCTTTTTCCAGTCCTTTGGTCATACGATTTGTACATATTTATGTACATTGATTGTTTATTATACATTAATTGACCTAATAAGCAATAAAGCTGAACGATTGCAGATAAAAAGAAATTACTCTTAAATATGAATCTTTTAAATGAAAGAAATCAATTTTTACAAGTATTGAATACTCTTCAACTGTTATTTGACGCATGCTTAGTGAAAAGAGCAATCATAAATGGAATTGTAATGCATTTTTTATTGTAAATTTATAATAGTGGCCGAATGACCACGAGGTCACATAAAACTATTGTAATATTTTATGTACAGAAATTATGCTAGAAAACACTGTGTAAACTGTATAATTCTTGCGCCGTTATAAATCATCTTTAGTTTGTTTAATTTTATGTTCCTATTTTCTATATTAAAGAACATGGAAGAATAATAAATGTGAGCAGATATAAAACAAACGCTCTACACCTATATATAGTTTTTGTTAAGATTCTTGTATAAACTAACTTAATGTTTCAGTATGACAAAGTGAATAATTTATACGCAATGTTTGGTTTGATTTATGATGTAATAGCAACCTTTTTTGTTCATTGAAAATCCAACTAAAATGCTCAAATTAGATTATCCTGGAAATAAATTTGAACCGATAGTATCTTGACTATCTTCAAGTTATTGTTTATCGCTAACGTTCAATTTCATACCTACATTCACATCCTCAGTGCAGTTTTCATTTAATTTTTGAATCTCAATTTTCTGTAGATTTGCAGAACATGTTCCTAGAGTGGACACTGTGTTATAAATTTCTTTATCATTACATTTTGTTTGTACTACATTTGAAGTAACTTGGTTGGGCTTATCGCTATCTTCATTAACATTTTTTATCGTTTTAGAATTTACACTGGGATTGTAAATAATATTAATAGTTTTTTCATCATCAGTTTTTGCTTGTTGTACTTCTACATTACCTTTATTCAAATTGCAAACTGTGTTATCTACTTTCTCGTTTACTGCACTATCAGTAACTGTATTAGAATCGCACAATGCATTATCAGAATCTTCCTTATTATTTTCTCTTGATGTTACATGCGCAGTGGAATTACAATCTGGGGTTCCAATTTTGTCATTATCAATTTCTATTTTAGCTTTCTTAAATATATTAATGCTACTATTACTGCTACTACTGTTACTGAGACTCGACGATGCAATGCCTTTCAATGCTAAGTATTCTTCCACAGACCCAGTTGGGTTGATTTCTGTTTTATTATCTTTCTCTTCTGTAATCGGTGGATTAGAATTTAAATTAGGAGAATTATTTAACTTAGACAATCGTTGTCGTTCTCTTAAACGTTTCCTAATTTCCGACTGAATCTTTGATTCTTTTATAACGTTTTGAACATCGTCTGTCTTATAATAACGAGTTGCCCAAGTTTCAGTTGAACTTGCATCCTTCTTAACGTTATTGTCGGATTCCTTGATGCTATCGCATGATTCTTTGATAGTATTTGATATTTTTACTGTATCTTTCTCATATTCCATTTCGTCCATATCGTCAGGATAGTCATCAAGATCTATTATTACATCCATGTCAATAGATTTGTCATCCTCTATTACCAAATTTTGTGGCTTGTATACTTTATCCTCTTTTAATACTGCCTTACCATTTGCTTCAATTTTTATTTTCTCTGAATCAGTGATATCAGACAACTTTGACTCTTCTGACCTCTCCAATTTTGCAGATTTTTCTCCGTGACGTTGAATCTTCCCTTTCTGAATCTCCTCTTTACCAGATTCAGTCAATGATTCTATTTCTTTGGTATTACAAGAATCAAGAGTTGAATTCACTGATTTATTATGAGCAGGTTTTTCCTCGTGCGTATCTTCCACAGGATTGCAAATTCCCTTTTTATGCTCTTTAGGTTTTGACTTTTCATGTGTTTTGTTTTTTCTCCTTGTGTGAGGTCTCTTTTTCAATTTTTTAAATACACGTTCATTCACTGCTGTACTTCCTTCTGTGGCAAGTTCTACAGAATCCACTTTATTTTGATTACCAGTTTTAATTGCACTATTATCCATCCCATCTTTAATTTCACCAGGTTCAAGTCTTTCTACATTTACATTAGCTTCTTTGGGTGCAGTCTGTACTGTTTCACTGATTGCAAGATTTTCATTTGAACACGGAGTTTTATTTACGGACTGATTATCAGTGTCTGTTATTTTGTTTGTATCCTCTGATTTCTTTGCGATACGTTCATTTTGTAATCGTTGATTTATACGATTTTTATGCTCTTCATCACTGCTATCACTTGACAACAGTTCAATAGTTGGAGTTGGTTGTACTACTAACACAACATCTTCATCATCTCCGATACCTCCCTGCTTTCCAGTGATAAGTGACTTCTCAATTATTCTTCTATCTAATTTTCTTAGCTCTCCTTCCATTAAACTGAAATTTGAGCCTTTTTCTTTACGATCCTTTTGCGTTTTATCCAAACCTGTATTCTGTGCAGATGGCATTCCTGGAATTATATCCTCTTCCTTTCGAATTAAAGCTCTTATAGCCCTTGCTCTCATCTCAAGTTCTAATAAATCCAGCAAACTATCGCCTTCTTTTTCTTTACTTGTTGACGCTTTCTCACCTTCCACTTTCACTTTTGCATTTGCCTTAATCTCATTTCTCTGCTTATGTTTATTCCTACCTCCAACTTTTTCTTGGTCCACTTTTTGCCCTTGATTTTTCTTTAAGTCTGATGACACTTGACTTTTAGCTTTGGATTTTATTTTTTCTTTTTTTGTCTTTTGAATTTTTGATGATACTTGATCTTCCTTTTTAACAACTTCGCTGTCCGTTAACCATTCCTCTGTGTCCGAAATAATTTCCAAAGAAGGCCCTATTAATCATAGTTTGCAATTAACATTATATACTATTTTTCATGTAAATACAGAGAAATTTTATAAAACAAAGAATAACCTGATCCATCCGTTTCACTTGTGTCCGAAGACTCCAACAATGTCTGACCACTCAAAATTGATAAAATCCTGGCTTTAGACATTCCAGTTAGCTCATTCGCACACCACTCTTCTAAAATGGATAAATCAATTCTCTAAAAGTAGGGGATTATTTTAATAATAATTCAAAGATAGGACAATGTGAAACATTGGGAAAAAGTTAATATACCTTCATAACCTGTGGCAACATCATACGAATTTTTTCAATTTTAACAGATTTAAATAATTGCTTTGCCATTTCTGTACGATTTCCCATGTAGTCCTTAATAGGTTTGAGATCGCCATCAGAATCATCATTCGATGAATCAGTTGAAGTACTACGTGAACTACTACTTGACACCTACAAAACAAGAAATAACGTTAAGCAGAATACAAGGTAGAAATATGTCATTTTCTCTATTTTTTCACATGAAACGTACATAAAAGTGAAGGAAAAAGCAATTTCTTCAAATTTATGAAGGTTATGTTCACTTAGTTACATAAAATTGTACTTAACCTGGCTCTTTCTTCTTGCTTTTTTTCTTTTATCTGACATTGCCGTTTTATTAAGACACAATCAACGTAAATAAAATTATTTTCCTAAGTGCATCTAATAGTGAATGTAATTCAGAGGTTAGAATTGTTTACTACTGAATATCTTTTAATAAAGATTCTATTCATTTATCGCTTTCAAGATATAAAGTGACTTATCACTTCGTGTGTACATATTACATTAAAAATACACGGTGTATGTGCTGCCAAATGTGATTCACACAACACAGCACTCCTTCCAAATCGTAGAAGCGAAGCTGTCAACAGCTGTCAAAGCGTGACTATTTTATCTTGGAATAAAGAATAGCGAAGAATGTCTATACTTCCTGATTTGTAGTTACTAGCGAGCCACTATCACCTAGCGGCAAGAGACCAAAATAGCATGAACCAGAGATAAGATGGGAGATTGCTCACGAGCAGGGATGCTTGATTGCGTTCTGTGCTGCCCTCAGTGGAGAATGCATTTGTTCCCAATGGCGGCCTAACTCAAGAGATCAATTAGAACATCTTTGATTAGAAGCAAGGATGAGTTGGAACCCCGAGTTGGGTCGCCATTGGAGGCAAGTGCGTGAACCGCCTGCATTTTCCACCGAGGGCAACACAGAATACGATCGCGCGACCGTGCCCGTGAGCAATCACCCAACTCATTTCTGCATGAATAGACTCACTTTTATTAACTCCGATTCAGACGTTATCTACTGTTTTGAGAACTCGTTATCTTGACTGAATTGCAAATCTAGTCCCACCACAGTTTGGATCTGATTGGATAAGTCCGTGTTGTTCGAATATATTATGTAATAGTTTACCATAATTTTGGAAGGTAAGTATACCGAATTTGGAAATTCAGTACGAATGCTACTAATTGTAAGAATACCAATAAAATAATATTTACAACTTACTATTAAATATTTTTTCATTAGTTAAAAGTAAACGTTATTTTCTAATACAATAGTTATCCAAATGTTTGATTACTATTAATTGAGCATGATCATCTTTTCCAGACATGCACTGTGTCAAAACGCTTGTTGTGCTTTACCTTGTAAAGGTGTACACATTAGACTTACAACAAAGTCCAACCACAAAAGGTTAAAAGTAATTTTCAATTACATTTCAACTGATGTTATTTCTCTCTATTTTTGTTCCTGCTTCTGTGATGTTTGGTTACCAATTTTATCCTTATTTTCCATTATCCAATAGTGAGTTTTAACGGCTTTAAGAGAAATCCTTTCGTTACTTTTTTTTTTCATTAACTGCAACAGAAAATGTTAGCGATAATTTGATGACTTCAAATATCGAAATAATGTTAATTTTTTACATAATATATAAATGTGTATCACTATTTTGGTTTTACACAGTAATATCATTTGAATAACGTTTCTACCACAAGAATAAAAGTATCATATATTTGAAAGTAATAATGTTACCCGTGAGATTAGATTCTTAGCTCCTGCAGTAACATGTGCTGGCCATGGAATCTGTGATACCTCAATCTTTGTATAAGTTTCCTGTTGTGAGTCACTAAGAAATGGTGGTGTACCAACAAGAAATTCATAACAAAGCACGCCTAAACACCACAGATCCACGTAAAAGTCATATTCCTGTCCCTTTATCATTTCGGGTGGAAGGTAATCCAATGTTCCACATAATGTGTTACGTCTGTAAGAATAAATTGTAGTATTGTGTTAAAAGAGACTTTCGTATTAAACAATGGTTAATAATTAAAAGATAAATTATAAATATAATTTAGTTCATTCGCCCACATATAAAGGATTACTTACTTTGAAAATGGAGCATGGACAGACCATCCAAAATCAGCTAATTTTATGTCACCATTATATGTTAAAAGCAAATTCTCAGGTTTAATATCTCTATGTATCACATTGTTTTGATGGCAATAGTCCAGTGCATCTGCCACTTGATATGTATATTTAGCTGACCTATAAATAATTATTCTCTTGTCACAATTCTGAAGAATATTTTAATGCAAATAATTAATAGTAAAAGTTGTATCAGAATCAATCAGACGAAGTTATACTTACAAATGCTCGTTAAGTCTTTTTTCAGGCAGCCGTCGCATCTCTTTATAAAGTTCTCCCCTGGCAGCAAATTCTAGGACTAAATATATTCGTTTCTCGTCATGGAAGTAAGTAAATAACTGTAAGATATTAGGATGCCTAGAATATTAAACAATTGTTAAAATAACGAAAATCTAGAAGAGATTCTTTAATTCTACAAATGACACTTCACATAAGAGTATGATCACATCTACATATACAACATTTGTACATGTGTATGTGTATATACACATTCTTAAATATAGTACCTTAAGTGTGACTGTATTTCTATCTCTCGCATAACTTGTTTCTCAACCCGACCTTTTACCAATTCTGATTTATAAAGTACTTTCAAAGCAACCATATACTCTGTTTTCACTTCTCTTGCAAGATAAACCCTTCCGAACCTCCCACGTCCTAGAGGAGCTCCAAGTTCAAAATCTTTCATTGACCAATTGTATCTAAAAAAATATAAACACAGTTTACAGTCACATGCAATGTGAAATATTCACGCATGAAAATAATTTCAACATTCTAATAAACAATTACCTATCTTCATAAGTTTTCACGTGATCCTCCATGACAGAAAGCATATTTTGTAAAGGTTCCCGATAGTTCTCAAGAACATGGTTTGGTAATTTGAAAGCATTTTTTGGTTTACCCATGATATAAAACTATGAAAAGCTTTCGATTAACTTTCAATCAATTACAATATTAGCCGTAAATGCCTTGCAGTTTATAAATCTTGTAGGGAAATTAAGCTTTAAATTAGAGACGATTTTAACAAAATTAAGTAGCAATTGTATCTAGTGTGTGTTACTCCTTTTGGCTCCAAAATTGTTCATAATTAACTACTGAAGTCAACTACGATGTTGTATTCAGCACTTTGAATCCAAAATCAGGTTTGCAAAATTCACCATTCACAGCATTTGCGATAAAACACAGTAGAATATAATTAATATACATGTGAGATTGTCAAACTAAATGTTCAATTCGGTTAAATGTCACTTCAAGTGACAGAAAAACACCGGTTAATAGAATTCAAAGCACCGCGTAAAGAACGACTCAATCGAATTCAACGTAAATCAACGGTTCATTTTAGTCAATTTCAGTTCATTTAAACGCGGGAACATTAATTAGAGACGAAGTTGAAGAACAAGAAAGCTCGCGCAAATGGCAACGCCATCATACGAGCTGCATTTCAATTATATGTATAAGCACATTCGCAAGAATAGGAACTCACCACGATATAACCGAAGCTGGAGACAAAGATTGCTCACGGGCATCACGGGCAGGGTCGCGTGATCGCGCATGTGCCGCCACCCGATGGATGATACAGATGGCTAACGACGCACTTGCCACCTGTTACCCCTCAGTGGCGGCGCAACATATTTCTGATGAGAGCTCACGCAATCGCGATGGCAGACACAGGGTTTGAAGCTTTTGTGAGGGCTCCATGACTTCTACAGCCAGTTTTCGAGCTGCCCAGTCACCGGTGAATTTTTCTCGCACCTGCGGCCATGGTAGCTTGACGGGGATCTTCGCGCGAAGACACAGGAAGACGCAGGAAAACGAAAGATCAATTTGAAGAGAACAAAGATCCCCGTCAAGCTACTGTGGTCGCAGGTGCGAGAAAAATTCATTGGTGGCTGGACAGCCCGAAAACCGGTTTAATAAGTCATGGACCCCTCACAAAAGCTTCAAAACCTGTGTCTGCCATCGCGATTGCGTGAGCCCTCACCAGAAATGTGTTGCGCCGCCACTGAGGGGTAACAGGTGGGGAGTGCATTAACCATCCGCATCCTCCACCGGGGGGCAGCACAGGCGATCGCTCGACCCTGCCCGTGAGCAATCTTCCAACTCATCTCTGTTAATGATCTTCTAATTAGATCTATATTCATCGGTTATAATTGCCCTCGTGACCAAAGGGTATCAAAAGTGGAGTACTAAACTCTTTGCTCGTAACTACACGTGTGACTCCGCTTTGTATGCGGTAAATTTAAAAGTCAACATGTGTCAGTGCTATCGTCATGCTTTTGTCTGACAAATAAGTTTCTGCTCTTATGGAAGCAGGAAACAATGTAGCTCGTGGTAAATAAATGACTGCTTTGGACCGGTATTACGATACACTTAAAATGCAGAAACAAGTGGAGATAAGAGTTAATAGTTTGTCGATATGATACAGGACGAAACGTAATATTCGACAGAATATTCGTGTCTATCACCGATTCACCAATAATAAGCCGAATCGTGCGTCACGTTTTATTACCTTCTCACAAACTGTAATAATAGTAATTTTTATTTAATCTTTCTTCAACTGTTTTTATTTATTTTGAAAATAAACCAATAATCTAATCCCTGTCATTTTTGCAGTTATGCTTAATCAACTAGGAAACTGAAGTTCCTCCAAAGCATCGACTGACAGTGTGCCTGAATTAACATTCACAATGCAGAGATCTATAAATGCAGCGGTGAATGATTATACAGAGATTGTGAGGCGGTTATCGTTTGGCCAAAGATTGGCATATGGCGTTGGACATGTATTGAATGACATATGTGCTTCCATGTGGTTTACGTACTTATTGGTATTCTTTCATCTTGTTTTGGAATTCGATGCATTTTATTCAGGAGTAATATTACTTATTGGCCAAATAGCAGATGCTGTAGCGACCCCTTTTGTCGGTTTTCATTCCGATAAACATGATGATTTTTGGTTATGTCGATATGGCAAACGCAAGACTTGGCATTTATTTGGTAAATTATTAACATTAATTATATTTTTACGGTATTACTGACAATTACAATGAACACAAACTTTGATATCTAATACTTTATTTGGTTTTGTTACATATAGGGACTATTTGTGTTCTCCTGGCTTTTCCATTTATATTTTCATCGTGCATCAATTGTGAAACAGCACATCAATGGGCACAATTAATTTACTATGCTTCATTTGTGATAATATTTCAATTTGGTTGGGCTGCCGTTCAAATTTCTCATTTGTCTTTAATACCGGACCTTACTCCTACGGAACAAGAAAGAACGGAACTGACAGCTCTAAGGTATGTTATTTGTTGATTACAAAGATGTGCCAGGGTATATAATCTTGAAGTCTTTATTTAATAATTAAAACATAAGTCCAAAAACAAAGGCTCATATATTATACATAATTACATATAAATGTAAACAAAGACTAACTGGTACATTTGTTCACCAGGTATAGTTTTACGGTATTCTCTAATATACTAGTGTACTGCATTGCTTGGGCAGTTCTTCATGTAACTAATGATGTTCCGGGCTCACAAATAGGACCAACGGATGTACATAAATTTCAGAAAGTATTATTTATTGGATTAGGAGTAGGTTTTGGAACATCCCTAATCTTTCATATTTTTGTAAAGGAGACGGCTGCTAATAATTCTGGAGGTAGGTAGTATCTTTTCCATAGGAGTTTAATATTTTGTGCAAATTTTTAATTTTAGTTTTTTTCCAGGATTATTGAGGCAAAGTACGCGTTCCGTGACCAGTATATTAAAAGATGCACAAATGTATCAAGTGGCACTGGTTTACATGCCAACCCGACTATTTGTAAATTTATCACAAATTTATGTACCTTTGTACTTACATGAAACTCTCCATATGGCTGCTACTTCTTTGGCAGTCATACCATTAACAATATTCCTCAGCAGTTTTATGACGTCTTTAATTATCGAAAGATTAAATACGAGATTAGGACGAAAAATCTCATACTTTATTGGAGTTGTCGTTGCCTTGTGTGCTTGTGTATGTATATGGCTTGGACAAGGCAGTGCATACGTTACATACGAAATTTATTTAGTAGCTATTTTACTAGGTAAATATCACAGAACAGTTTTCTTGCGCAGTTTTTTTTTTAATATGTTTAATTAATTGCATCTATTTAATACTGGTAAAATTTTATTATTAGTAACCAGTGTATCCGCTATTAAAAATTATACATTTACGCAGGAATGGGAGGTTCGATCATGCTGGTCACCAGTCTTGGTGTAACTGCAGATTTTATTGGATTCTGTTCAGATACGGGAGCTTTTGTATATGGTGTCATGAGTTTTTCGGATAAACTCTGCAATGGATTAGCTGTTATCGTGATACAATCTGTGTACGCAATTTAAAACATTAATTATAATTTTTCAATGAGTTACATGAAATATATACTGACTGTTTTGTTTTCAGGCGTTGTACAAGTAATTGCTCGAGTTACTATAGAGATGTAATCGCTTTCGTTTGTGGAGCTGCTGCACTTTTTGGTTTATTAGTGATCATTTTCATTAAACCATTTACTTACAACGATGGTAATTAAATCAACAATATTTTTCCATTCAATTTTCATCCACTATTAAATAAAGTAAACCGTTTTGTTTATCCCGCTTCAGTAGTCCAGCCAAAGTAATTTATCAATATTTTCAGGGTTTAATAATTTATATTATGAGAATTCAATGGATTATCCACCAATATCAGCCATAACTACAGATGAAACTTCTAATGATGTTACGAGCCCAACAAGACAAGACATAAGTGACTGATTTTAGTTTATATAAAATTAATTGCACAGAGCAGTTCAAATTAGTTTTGGTGCAGTGGTATTTATGGAGCGCACATTAGAAAAATTTTTTTTTTATTCGGCTGCGCCGATATTAGTAGTAACATAATTTATAGAAATGTAATTAGAGCACAAAGGGCGTATACGCTTTTTAGGATCGCATGTTAGTGCAATTAAAAGGTTTATTATTCGTCGACGACAATATAGATTAAGATAGATGGACTTCTGGCGAGTGGATTCTGTTAAATAAGAATGAGAAGAAATTTATTGATTTGAATATATCTGTATATATGCATATAGAATCTTTACTTTTAACACGAAGAACGTGTTGGAAGTATGTCTGCATGGTGCTTAGTTAAAAATACGGGTTAATGGTGCTCAGTATGTCTTATAAATTTGGTTTGTATTTAATACATAACGGTTTACTTAGTGGTATCAAATACTACGCTCTTATTTAACATGGGAATCTATAAATACTGAATGTGAGCACTAGATAATCTATTGCAATTGATGCCAGAAGTATATCTAGGTTGTGCCTACCTCCTGCTGACAATAGCAGTTTTTTTCCTCTGACACAAACAATGAAATCAAGGTCCGAATGGGAACATATTGCTCATGCCCGTATTTACGAATTCATAGTATTCAACTAGCTTTAATAATATTTTTAAATAAAACAGACTAAAGCTGTATAAAAATGGTGTTACGAACAACTAATAAATGTTAACCGAGTTGCCACAAGGTTGCAGGGAAGCCAAGACGAGACTCAATACATCTTTATTAAAAAACTCGGTAGAGTTTCGCGCCATATATATACATAGACGCGACCTAGTCATTATCTGCGATGTTTAGCCTGGCGCATAAAACTAGACAATGAACGTCGTCTTCTGAACCTCTTGAATGAGTAATGTCAACTTTAACCAGGTCATCGAGATTGGACTATTTTTCTGCGTCTTTTAAGCTACAAACAAAACCGATTGGTAGGTTTAATACGGAGATATGCAATTTTAAATATTGTTTTTCATTTCTGTAGATCAAAAGGCATTTCTCTACGCACACCCAATGCCGAGCAAGGTCTGGGATACCAAAGTGGAACGACTGATCGGCATTCCTGAGCCCGGTATTATCACAGAATGGAAATAATAGATCTCGGGCAAGCAGTTAAGTCATTAAACCGGCTCAAGGTTCGATGCGATGTCGCGGACTTGAAACCAATGGATTAATTCGTCAAGAGGGCCAGCGTCGAAACGCGTCCTCCGTGGTTGGCAGCTAGCCCATCGGAGAATGGGCGGATCGTCGTTTCGCGACGTGACGCGATGGAATGGTAAAGATTTTCTGATCGCAAACGAATGACGGCAAGTCACGGAATAGGATACACGCGGTGGTACGGTGCCTGCCCCCTCGAAAAGCGAATGGGTTGGCTGCACGCGATTCACTACCAGGCTCTGGTTACGTCCTGTTGAGCCAAAGTTCGTCTTCCTTGGCCGATTCGAGCCCGCAAGACGATGGGACCCGTGCTTTACTTCTACAGGGGCGAGTATACCGCCGGGCCATCGATTGGAGAATGCACGTATATCTAGACCCGAGGAACACCTTGGAATCCATTGTGCTACCAGAATGCTGGCGACGAGCACCGATTCTCGCCGGTCCCGGATCGGTGGTTCCTCAATGGCTACCACGACCGCAACCTTGGGAACCTCTGGGACCTATTTGGCGCGTCCTAGACTTCCCTTAAGGTCCTTCTTGAAGCCGAAATCTCTGAGCAACACCTCCAGTTTCGACATCTCCGGATACGGCCGGACGAAACGCTTCAAGTCCAGGTAAACGTGCTCCCCTGATGATGCTAGGGTTGCAACGAAAGTGATTATACCGAAAGCAAGGACAAAGGCGAAAGAGAAAAAAGAGATCGTATTGCGGAGGCGAAAGTGAGGGCGAAAGTACAAACGGTGCGAAACTTTTGCGTATGGTGAAAGCCGAATTGAATATTCGTTACAACCCTATCTGATACCTGCAAACGGCTTTTGAATTTATTTCTTTAACCCTTTAACTACGACGGAGTCGGACGTGGAGATGTACCACCTGTACGGAGAGCTCCACTGCGGAGTACACATATTTTATACGAATATTCATTTGTCGCTTCCAATACATGAGAACGAAAGGGGCCACTATAGCGGTGCTACGTAAAATAACGTAACGTAACGTAAAATAACGTAAAATAACGTAAAGTAACGTAAAATAACGTCGATCAGCCACTTTAGTGGGGCTTCGTAAAAAAACATCGGTCGTGCGGAAGCCACTATAGTAACGTTTCGTAATTAAAGGGTTAATATTCGAGAGAACTTTTTGTAATATGTAGTATTAGGTTGTTCAGAAAGTTATTGCGGGTTTTCTCGTTTATGATCATACGCTTTGTTTTCAAATAAACTTGTGTTTTTCCTTTATGTCCATGTTATATACCAGTTTAAAGCGCACATTCTTCTCTATATTTTGGTAACAATTATTTTATTTTAACTCGTTAACTATGGCGCAATTGAATGTGGAGCTTTACCGCCTGTACGGATAGCTCGGCCAAGGAGTGCTAATATTTTATATGAATAGGATATTCATCTATCGCTTTAAATACGTAGGAATAAAGGGGACCACTATAGTGACGTTTCATAAAAGAACGACGGTAAGGCGGAGGCCACTATGGTGATGCTTCGTAACTAAAATGATATAACACCATCAAGAAGCCATCATCCATGGCCAAAACGCTCGTGATCTTTAAGGTACCCCTTTACAGAACTTGAACAATTGTCACGTGCAAAAAAACTGTCGTGCACGTGATAACAAAGTATCACGTGTAAAACAGCAAAGCCACGATAACTTTCTGGCTAATCTAATATGTGTATACAGTTTCTTTTTAATTTTTGATATGCGCGTTTGTTTGAGCGGGTGCAATTGTCACGGTACCTTGACCGAAGATTGAGTTAAGAGTGTAAAAGCATCTGGGTGTTTTTGTATAGAAAAGTAAATGTTTTACAAAGAATGGACCCGACCAAGAAGAAGTTGCCGGACTACACGGAGATTGCGTACAGAGAAGCCGTTTCGAAGCTGAAGTACTTGTTGTCGGAGTCCTATTCGCCGAGGACCAGCGGGTATGAGATGCGACAGTAATTAGAATTTATTTCGAATAGAATAACACTAAATTGGTTATTTCATTAAAAAGAATATTGAAATTTTATAACCTTTTTTTTTCGTTTTATTCAGCAATGATACACTAATTTCATAACATTTTATTTGCATATTTTATAAATTTAGAGATCTATAACCAATGTAGAATACTAATTCATTTTTAAGACATCAAATCTGTAATTTCGCTATAACCTTGTGTACTAAAATCGCACGAATTTGATGAATATTTAAGCAGTATATACAGCAAAAAGGATTTAATTTATATCAATCTAGGAGCCAATTGGTGATTATTGTATATTCTTCTGCCACGTATATGTCACGTGCGTCTAGAATAAATTATTTCACCAGTCATTGTCGGTTCAGAGGCGATATTTGAATGCAAAGTGTTCGCGATCATTAGAAAAAGCGGATTAACGGATTGGTTAGACGTTTCTCTGGAGTTGGGTAGAAAAGTAGATGCGGTAGAATCGTTGCGCTTTTTATTTAGGAAGATGCATCACTGCAGGGATCCGTTGCAAGACAGTAATCCACGTGTCAACGAATCCGGAGAAGATACGGATGATCGGAGCGTCGTGAGCGATGGATCGCGCATGAAAAATTATTTGGGAAATTTGCCACCTCGAGCAAGTCCTTACTTATCCCGACCTAAACACACGCACGTTACTTCGAAAACTTGCGGAAATATGGGTTCGTCAACAGGAGAACAGGCTCCTCCAGAGCTGGCGTCTTTCATCGAGCGACAGGAAGAGTACATAGAACAGTTGGAACGGGAATCGCAGTACTGCAGGGACGAATTGACAAATCTGCTGAAGAAAGTCAAGGAGGTGAGGAGACGTCCGTTTTTTTTTTAATTATTTAAGGGTCTAGTAGAGCCAGGTCGGCCATAGCGAATCGTAACGTCAGAGGTGAGGCAATCGCGTAAAATTAATGTGATATGAAAGGGTTATTCTATATATATAATTATATATATAGAATAACCCTTTCATTTCACATTAAGTATATATATATATAAAACGTCAAAATATTTATAAAATTTTTCTCCAAACTGGATGCATTAGATCGTTGTAAACTTCAACCTGTGATTGTGATCCTAAGGAAGAACGGGTACTCATGAAATTTCATTTTTAATAAAAAATTGTTTGTATTTATCCCAGACTAAAACCAAGAATATATATATATTTTTTTAATGAAATTTCGTGAGCACCATGTTCACCCTTAGGGCCTTCATAATCACGTGTTCAGTTTCAAATGATTCCGTGCACCCAAATTGGAGAAAAGTTTTATAAATATTTTGACGTTTTATAAGGTATGGAATGACCTTTTTATATCACCTTAATAATCGATATTCTACGAAGCGAATAACTTTTGCCAATGAAGGCTACGACACGAAGAAACTAGGTATTTACGAATTATATCCGCTGATCAGTTTATGACGGGTCGTGCACTGCGAAACAAGATATCGCTATCCGAAAATTGGCCCGTTGACGAAATTGGGATTCTCAGGCGATATTTCGACAACGAACACAACGTCAGCGAAAACATGGACCGACTGATACATTTTACACATCCACTGGTCATCCAAGTTCGATAAAAACATGAAAATTGGAATGAAATACCAGTTGGGCATTTTACGTAATCTCGCATCTGACATCAAAATTCAATATGGCCGACTTGGCTTTACTGGATCCTAAATAAAGAAAAAGAAAAATCGACAAAAGTATAGTCTTCCTGGTAAGTCGTAAATATTTGCGTAGAATTACGTTCGGGTGATACGAAAAATGAATTGTGGATATCAGTGCAATCATTCACCGGATGATAAATCATGAACACTGCGGATTCGATGGTTACATATATACGGGAATGATGCGAGATGTACATGGGACATTTACAGTTCCACACATTTGTAATATTTGAAAAATACCCCCGACATAAATATAATTGCACATGTGTGATATTTAAAAAATATACTCGACACAAGTGCAGTTGCACATTGTGGGTGATATTCGCACATTGTCGTGCAATCTGCCCTTTTTTGCGATTGCTCATTTTCGTGACATTCTATTCCCCAAGGTTCACCCCATACTTAGCTAAAAATGACGAAACGACGTAGCTTTACGTTAAGAAGGAAATAATTACGCTTGGTCGCAGGTTGTCGCGGAAAACGAAGCGCTGAACGACAAGAGCAAGACCGGGTTCCTGAAGGCGGTTCTGGAGGAATACAAGATTTCCGACGAGGAAACCCAAGAAGTCGGCGAACGGACCTCGTCCAGAATCAGCGACAACAGAGGGAAAAGGGTGAAACTGCACAAGACGTTGGAAGGGCCGAACATTGTCTTCGAATCTCGCATCAGCGAGCTCGAGGCTCAGCTGACCCAGGCGAGGGTCGAGCTCCGCAAGGCGCAGGAAGAGAATCAGGCGAATTTACAAAGATTATCCGAAGGCTCGTCTTCTGGGGTTTCTCCGGAAATCAAAGCTCAGTTAGACCAAGCCTTAAAGGAGAAACGAGAAACCGAGGCTAAGCTGGAGGAGGCGCAGAGGAGTCTGAAGTTGGCCCGCGATCGGGAGGCGGACACGGCTCAAAAGGCGAAAAGGGCCTTGGATATAGTCCAACAAGTAGAATTCGAGAAGAGCCAGGCGGAAGCCGAGACCAAAAGGTTGCGGGAGGAGCTGGACAGGCAACACGAGAAGCTCAGGGATGCGACCCAGGAAGCCAGCAAGAGGATCGTCGACGAAAGGCAGCAAGTGGAACGACGGTACAATCACCAGGTCGAGCAACTTTCGGCAGATATCGCTTATCACTGGGATGCCGCCAGCAAATCCCAGCTGGAGGCGGAGAAACAACGCAGGGAAATGGTAGACCTTCGGAGGGAACTGGCCCAAAAACAGGCGACGATCGACAACTTGAAGAAGGAGCTGCAGGGGAAAATCTGTGAGTCGGAACTTAAAGTACCCATCCGCGAGTAAAGAATATACACGTTATCGCTGCGATTACAGTCTCCTAATAGTAAAACCACTACTGTTCTATTATAATATCTGTATGGTGATAAACCTTGATAAATTTAGACAATGTCCAGACATGCGGAACGCCCAATTTATCACATGGCCCGAGACATATTTACCATTTAATGACCCAGAAATCGTCCGACTTCCCTAATCCGAGTCACGAGTCGCATTGTAACGCCCCGTTGAACTTACCATGATTGTGGAAACTCTTATCATTACGTCGTGTTCTCGTGTATCGAATACCTACTCTTACGTTTTTCAAGGAATAAAATTAAAGAAACAGTTTCCAATCGTCGACTAAGTACGCGTCACCTCTCCATTCCGAGTTACCGCTTACCATAAACGTTTGTGGCTTAAATAAATTCGTAGCGAGCTTGCAGAGCGAGCTGAGTCAAGCCATAGCCGAAAAGGATGCAGCGGAGCAGGAAATCGCGGCCGCAAAATTATCGGCCGAGCGAATCGAGAGACAGGGCAGACAGGAACAGAATCGCCTGCAAACGGAGATCAATTCCTACAAACAGAGATTGGAACGAGCGGACGCCGACCTGGTTCACTGTAGGCGGGAAAATCTCCGGCTGACCGAGCAGATAGCTTCGTTGGAAAAGGAGGTGGGTACCTAGAACAGGGACACACGATCAAGGGTAATGTCTTAATGTATATCGATCACGCTAGCAATTTTATACCCGATATCGTCTTGCAGATCAGCATGAGCAAGATGGTGAACACGGAAGAGGCTCGCGCACCTGCCGCGACTCCCAGGCCAGGGAAGGAGAAGGAGCTCACGACCATGATCATGGACATGGAAACGAAACATGGTAAGATCCAGACGTGTACTCGCGTGCCTGTGTTAGGTATACTGTCCATACGAACAAATCTAGGCGCGATAAAAGGAGGCTAGAGTTTCTTTATCAGTGGTCATGCTTTTTGCGCGGCGGGCGCCCCGATTGTGTGGGAAATCGGCATGCTGACATTATGCCTAGCATGGGCGAAGGTAATGGGTCGATTCGTTCCGCAAAAATTGACCGATGGAATTGAATTTCTTAGCTGCTACAGTGGCCGGTCTAGAAGATGCTCTGACCAATCAGGCTACGATCGTCTCTCGACTGACTGCCGAATGCCAATCTCTCACACAACGCTTGGAAGCTAACGACCTCAAACACAAGTATCCCTTGTCTTTACTGGAATCGTTTTCGTATAGTCTGTCATCCATTGCTCCTCGTATTTTGTGTGTCGCGCACGCCGCCACAGGGAAATCCCACCAAGCACATTATGTTACCGTTACATAACACTAAAATAACCTGACATATGACGATAGTTATTGAAAAAATACATTGATATTATAGAATAGTACATTTTTATCGTTCCGTAACATTATTACAAATATCAGCATTGCAGATATTAATACTAGCATTTCCATCGTGGCGATATTTGCACGTAGAATTCGAGATTTATAATCTTTCCTTTGCATTCTTTTTCATCTTCTTAGGGGTTGGTAAGGCAAAATCCTAAAATTGCTTTTTAGGCAATTGTGCATGTATCGGTTTTAAATGAAAACCAAGTCGATATTTTAACGGACTTCGGTGATATTAAGGGGATATGAAAGAGGCATCTGAGATATCAATTGTTCATGAAACTTTTCTTCGAACTGAGGGTACCGAATCATTTCAGGCTTTACGACGTGAATATGGAGGCTGTAAGGAAGATCCTGACCCCCATGAAATTTCATTTTTTAAAACACATTTTTTTAAATAACTATGAACAAATTGTTAAAACATTGAAATTGCATGGATGTTAAGACCTTCCTTGTAGCCGCTACATTCACATTGTTAAGTTCCAAACGATTCGGTACACCCAGTTCGAAGAAAAGTTTCATAAACGGGAGTTTATTTGACGCTACTTTCACATCACCTTAAGAAATAGTTTAGAACACATTTTCTTTCGAAGAATCCCTTCTCCGTAAGCCCTGATGTTACGAACAGAATATAATCCCTAAATTTGTCTTTCCTGGGCTTAGTGGTTTAGACTGAACGATGATTAATTAGACAGGGACCTCTTTTATGTATACAGATTAACGTTACGCATAACATATTACCGATACGTCATGCGTATGTTATATTATTCGTTTAAAACAGTGTTATGTAACTGTGCAAGAGATATAACGTAAACTTTTTGTACATGTTACAAAGCATATATAACGGTTATATCATTGTTATGTAACTGTGTTTGATGGGTTGATCCTTTTCCCTCGTTGACACATTCGCGGCGAGGTCGAATTTGATGGCTGAAAAGGGAAACAGGTTTGGAACCTGAGAAAGATGTCTTAATTTCATAAATAATGAAATACGTTATTAATAGGGATATTATGAAAATTGTACCGCAGCTGAAACTGTGGGTCAGTGTCATTTGTCAGGTGAAAAATCATTTCCATCGGTCAGTGAACACTTAACGCGGCAATACAGGGTTTACAGGAATTATCTGTTAACACAGGGATAAGAAAAGTCGCGATTATGTGGAAATCTTGTATGCTTGTAGATGTACTTATTCTTGAATGACCGTAGATCGTAGATCACAGGTCACGGATCAAAAGTCAATCGCCGCGAATGTGGAAATTCTTGGACGTATCTTTACAATCATAGAAAATTTCGTGAAATCTGGGTACATCTTCGGAAGTAGTCTCGCAATTATGCACTCGATCTGATCGTATCGAGCTCGTAGTCTCTAATCCCCTTGTAATGATACTTGCAATTACTTGTAACTGCGGCTGTTCTGTGTTGACAGAGGGGGTCGTTGAGCGACACAAAGGGGCTGTGACCAAGACTACTTCGCCTGCAAACAAGAAACGCAGTGTTAAGGTTGATCTCAAAGTAAAAGTAACTCCGAAAAAGAAAACAGGTCGCATTGAGTCCTCCAAGGTGCCTCTATCAGCACAGTAACAGCACGTATGACTGTTTCGATGACGGACTGAGTTCGTGTTGGTAGAAAGAAGAATTTTTCTCCCGCGGCTCCGTTTAGGCAATTTTTTACTTAATATTTGCCAATCGTCGTTATTAAATCTTATATAACGTGCTCCTCCTCGAGTAATTCTTTTTCCTACTAACATTGTGTATTCGTTGTCATATGTGTGCACGATTCGCAACATTCTCGCACTCTTAGATACCTTTCCGTAACTCCACTCGAAGTGCCTTAATTATCGTATATTTATTTTCCATGTACTCAGGGAAGAAATGGCCAGTTTACAAAGCAACATAGCGTTCTTGTCGTCCAAAATACAAGACACGATCGACCACCAGAAAGGTAGGAGTTGTCTGTACAATTGTGGATAAAAATACATACACGTATGGATGACTGCCATAAGACATGCCCACAAAAAATTCGAATACTTTTGTACGCCGATTTTTAATCACGTACATCTACACAATTGCATTATTTTGAGAAAAACGCATTATGGTGCATTCATAGACATATTCATAGAATACTCGCAGACATGATCGAAAATTCGTATATAAAGGTTTCGAAATTTAGTATACATGCCCTCCGCATTCATAAACGCGTATACTATAATCCTGAACAGTTGTACACGAACTTTCGAAATATTGTATCTTGGAAAAACTTCTATTACATGTATACTACATTTTGAGATTTTTTTAAGTATTATTATTTAATCATTTCACGTATTAATTATACATTTTCTCCTTTGCAGTAAGGTCTGCAGAGAATCTAACTAACGGTAGCACCGCTTCTCACGTACAATCGGTGCAGCCGTCGCTGCCAAAAGATCCGGCAATCGAAGAATCTGATAATAAATTTCAAAATCCGGTGAACAATGAAAGCACGAGCGGGAGGACCGAAAGCGACGTTTACTTGCAAGAAGGTGGCGAAAATTTCGATCCTACGTCCAGTATGTTAGCTCAAGAGAGGCACAATCCACAAAATGTACCACAGGATGATATTGCGATGGATCAGCAACAATATCGCGTACAAGGTGACGAACGGTACGACGTCGATGGACAGAATTACCCGTCCGAATTTACCGGCGATTACGATCAGTACGATCCAATGCAATATCAGCAAGAGCAATACGTCGAAGACGAGCAATATAAACAGGAACCCTATCACGATATGCAATATAACAAGGAACAGTTTCCGAATTATCCTGATACTCAAGACGATACGCAAACTACTCAACTGAATTCGAACGAAGGAGAGTCAGCTGACCAGAATGCATAAATCTTGAAGCTACCGTTAGTGGCATTTATTTATTCAAGGATGACGTGTTATTATTTGTATTGATCTTTATCTGGAGTCGTTACGTTGTTGTACATTGCAATAAAGTATACGTGCATCCTCGGCTTTACTCTGTGACCTGATAGCGTGCGGCTTATTAAAATTAATGCTTGCATCTTCAATTATTGTACATTTCTTGTTCCATCTGTTATTAGTAAGAAATACGTACAATGGCCAGCAGAAGTATTCGTACAAGACGGCATACGATAATACAATGATCTCTGTTCATGGAAATAATACTTGCTCTATGATAATAATTTTATTACGAATTACTTAATTACAATAATACCTCTTTAGTAATGTTGTCAGTAGATGAAAATTATCGTTGCTGTTAAAATATAAATTTAACAATAGTTAAAAGCGTGGAGAGTCAGTAGAGCAAAAGTATTCGTAAAGCGTCTTTCGCAGTGGACAGGAATTAACAGTAACGCTTGGATAATGAACCGTTGCACGTATGGACTTGTCGACCGATCTCTAACATAGAATTTACATATAATCATTAACGAAATGACGGTGATGCATCCAACACTAGTATTAATGTTATGTGCAGTTCGGTGGAAGCTTCATTCTGTTAATGTGTAGGACAGGAGACACGTATTGTATCATGTATGTGTATATACATACACATTGCTGTCAGTTGCAGCTTGTATTGTAAGGTTTGTGTATAGTGGTAGGGAATGCTCAGAGAGCAATGAAATTCAATGGTGGGGAATGAGAGGGATGCAATACGTGCCCGCTGACACATCTCTAGTAACTGGCTGTAGCATGCAGTAGTACGAGTCAAGTGTCGAATTTACGCTACGGCTGGGTGTTCCGTAAATCAACCGTAAACAAGCTGAAGGAACGCCCTCCGTCGCGTCAAAAGTATTTAACAGATATTTAACTTGTTATTTAAGTAACGGACATCTCCGCAGTTACTCACGTAAGTGAAGTCACGTTTCGGTTATTCGAAGCTGGTCGACGCCCAAATCGTCCCGAGTGGAATTAGTAAGGTTAGGTCGCCTCGGATTGAGCCGAGATTTTATTTGGCCTTTATTAAAAATATAAAATGGTAATTTATATCACCAAATGACATTTTTCAGGTCTAAGATGACTATCTTAAAATCCTGTTGGTCGCCTTTTATATGGACGAATAGCATCAAGACAGGCAGCAAAGCCGTTGCATTTTACACTTCGGTAATTCACCTCAGTGACCTAATATAATGGAGTTTTTCAGAATTAGATTTTTCTTACAATAAATGTGCCTCGGTAGTACCTGAATTATATGATATTTAATATATTTTGTTTTTACGAACAGATTGTTACAATTGTTGTTATGGTAAATAGTATTTAATCTTGTATAATATTTTAGGCATTAAGTATTATTGCGATCACGCTGATATGTTACCAGTTAAATGGAGGGGATTCGACGCAGCTATATAATCCATTATTTGAAGCTGACGTTAGAGGATGTAAGTAAAATAAATTTGCTAAATAGGGTTGAATGTTTTTTCAGTTAAAATATATTTAATACTTAGCTTTCGATTAAGTTTTACTATTAGGAAGATGGTATCTGTAGTTAAATATTTTGTTTACTTTTAGCTATGCAATATGTTGGAGGATTCCTTATATTTTATTTCCTGCTGCTAATAGTATTTTCCTTCTTGATGGTTTATGGAATCAATGAAGGAGTACGTGGATGGTTATTGCCCTGGCTTATTTCATGGTTTGTAGTTTGTTTGTTCCAACTTGTGTTTGGATTGTGGTTGTTAGGAGGTTACTATATTTACGTAAGTTCAATTTCTACACCTATATTAATTTAACTTAGATGAATTTCAAATATAATAAATATTATTTTCTTCTAGCTTGATTCTGTGTTTGCAACATTGTGCGATTGGCTATGGATGTCTTATAATGTAAGTACATACCAGAAGTTTGAAAAAAAAACAGTCTTAATATTCCTATCCCATATATTTAATTGTATCTTGTTTTATTTATTTACTCCCATAGATTTACTGTTGGCTTTGTGTCTTCTCCATGTACAAAATATTTGAAGAACTCCAGTCACCAAATATTGAACTTCTGTGGCCTTAAGGAACTCGTCAACATTCTCATTAGCGAGTTAATTATCCAGTTCAGAAACTGAAAGCAGTACAACAGATAACATATCGCGATAGAGAAGATTGGCAGATGTTGCAACATGAGATAATGTTATTTACACTTCATTAATGGAAAGGTGCACTACAAGATCTGTGCATTGAAGTGCATCACTGGTTTGTATACTGTCAATTAAAAACACTCTGTTTTACAGAATAGAATGTATGTTTTACCTAAAAATACTTAAAAATTCACTGATTATAACGTGCATGAATACTCGTTTTATCAGTGAATTAAAAGAATTGGCAGTTATACGCGTATTCCACTATATTTAAAGTAGCAATACAAATAATTTCATAGGATGACCGAAGACTGAATAGGTCTGATTCCAGCCACTTGTCCAAACTCGGTCAGTAATATTAAAAAATATAAATAGGGAACAATTGCCTTATAGAGAACATAAGAATACGACATTATGAACAATCAAAGAGCACAAGGTGGAAAAAAATTACATTTTATGAATTAGTGCTCAAAATACTTTCACCAGCGATATTGAGAATCACTTTTTACGTAATTTCAAGTTTTATTCAATTTTGTAACAAATCGTATTTTGTATGATAGTTTTGCATTAAGTAAAACCCGTATTTCTGTAATTCACAAAATTGATCTGAAGTGTATACATGTTAATTGAGACTGCGACTGGGTTACATAATGATTCTTATCCTTATGTGATCAAATACCATTGCAATGGCGTTTAGTAATAATCATGAAATTGCCTACATATGTGCCTCTTTATGCTATTTATTAGTGCTTATTGTGTATGTAATATACAATGTTTTTACACGATTTTTACAATAAAAGATTTTAGAATATCTTGAACCATGTCTATTTTTATATTAAATTTGTTGTCGAAGCTGAAAAGTGAATAGCATATGGAAATGGACTGATTTTCTTATTTCATTTTCAACTGTCTTCAGCATATCTAATGAATATGTCAGTAAACCTGTCTACATTAAAAATAAAAACTCTATTAGTACTTGTACATTTAGTGAAGCAGAACAATCAGTGTCATTAAATCTGTGAATTCTTAATCTTTAATGTTATCTGCAAAGTTACCTGTACAATAATTGAATACTTTGAATGATTTGAGTATATCAGAGAAGTAAACAAAAAAGGCATAAATAACTTAGGAATGCGGACGATGAATTGGTACTTATGTTTGGTACTTTTACACATCAACAGATGAGTTCAAGATAAGTACAATAAGTGCTTTATTAAAACTTAATTATTTTGTTTAGAGACGATGATTGTCATAAATAAATAATCGTTATGTAATCATTAAATGAATTTGTTCATAAGCGATGAAACGGTTTGAAATATTAATTGGCAATGTTACACTGATATGTTAAAATGTTATAAATTATTTTTTAATAGTATGTTCAAAGAATATCTTTTCTTTTCTTGAAGACAATGTATCATCCTATTCTTTAATGGTTAGTAAATCCAAATAAGCGACAGAAATTGTATCCTCTTCAGCAATTTCTAACTGCTTCATTAAATCTTGACTTATCTTTTGTCCAATCGCAATATCCTGATCATCTCTTAAAACAACCTGTAGAAAAGTTTGTTCTTTGTAGGTACTAAATAATAAGTGCTTAATTGAATCACTCTGTACTTTCTATACCTCAAGTTCCATAAAATCTCCAAGATTGGATACTTTGTCGATATGTATGCGGGTTTGATCAACGATAAACAACTGCCTTGTCTTTTCTACCGAACCAAGTATACCGTATGCTTGGGATAAAACTTCTTTTACTCCTTCTGCTCCTTCAGCACTTAAATCTACTTTCGAGTAGCTTGATAATTTTGGACCTTTGGTATCGGGTCGTTCATAATATATAAGTTCTCCAGTTCCATTCTACAATTTTAAGACAAAGTCAATTACGAAAATGCAGCTATATTCTTATGTTATACAGTGTACTTACTTCAAACTTTCGTAATTTAAGCCTTCCTTTAGATACAAGAAAGAAAACATCGTGTTGCTTCATTATGACTCCGTCAGATTTGCTTAGCCTTTTAGCTTTTTCTACTAAAGCCTCAGGATTTGATATCTTTGCTTTTATTTCCACGTTTCGCATTTTAGTCCGTTTTCCTTTTGAAAAATTTGCAGAACTTGTAGAAAGTGTATATATATACGTACAACTACGCGCTGTCACGTGTTTCAGGCAAGGGTGCATTTACTTCAGAATGTGAAGGTTATTTATGTATTACAATTTTGCCAACACTATCCGTAACGTTTGCTTCCATATGCTCAAAAGTGAATCTTTATTCGTCGCCGACTTGCACCGACTTTTTTCACTCAAAGCGGCTTGATAGACGTCACTGATATACGTTATTTAACCTCACATTTCAAATAACCTCTTCTTATTGGTACATATGAACAAACAAGTGGGGCAGGAGCTACAACCAATAAAATGGTTACTTTTGCAGCACTCTGAAATACACGTCTGATTGGTGATAGAATGTTGGGCCAGAGGGTCTATTACGTAAAGCAAATTCAGTGAAAATGTGAAAAATGAGTAACTGACGGTATTACGGAACGTTTTTGGTGGTGAAAATGCGAGACCATTCATGTGAACTGGGACAAATTTTTAAGCGAAATAGTGAAGTAGAGTTCTAAATCCAGTAAATTACGTCAGAAACGAAGAGAAATTCCCGGTAATTTATCGGTAATTTCTCCTAAGCCTTTTTTATCGAGAAATTATGAGAATTTGCATTTTTCAACACAGCGAACGAGAGGTTTCGATTAGCTATAGAGAAACATCGCAGAGGGGAATTTCCGTTGTACGTTGTCCGTAGCAAAGATGACTATCGGGCCGGTGATGGACCGTGATTGGACGACGTCGCCGGCCCAAGACGGTCACGGCCGGGGATTGCGGCCCGGCCGGCGGATCGCCAGCAGAGATGAGTTGGGAGATTGCTCACGTGCAGGGTCGCGCGATCGCACCGTGTGCTGCCCTTTGATTTCGTACGTTAGCTTTTATCGTTTTTTGCCCCCAAGGGCGGCGCAACGAATTTCTGGTAGGAGCTCGCGCAATCGCGATGGCTGTGCCATCTACCAGTTGCCGTTGACGGCTCACGTATTCGTGATGGTAATACCATGCG